CTTCCTTCCTTCCTTCCTTCCTTCCTGAATAAGTCAATGCAGTTTTGCATTTCAAAATAGTCCTTAACTTTTATTTGGAAAAATCAGTTTTGCTGTTTGCAAAGTTACTTTTCATTGTCTTGTCTTCATTGTCTGGACAATAATTTTAATGTGAGCTGTATGATAAAAATAGTGACAGAAATCAAAATGTCAGTCTCTTAAGCAAGTTTACTGCACAGAGGCTAGACAAAGCAATGTTTAACAGTAATGGTAATACAGAAAAAGGTATGTTTAATAAATATGTTTAATAGATCAATGTGAATGTAGGTCCAGGAGTGCTAGAAAATAATATTAGTAATTTATAATTATTATGGCATAAAAGTCCTCAGTAGGAAAAAGGCACCATAGTGACAGGAAATGTCCATGACAAACCCGCAAGCAAATCAGCCTGTAAACCAATTAAGCTTGAAATTCTACGCAAAAATACTTTGGGGAAACACCATTAAAAATAGGATTTACATCTCAATAAATATAATGGATTGTGCCATTAACTTATTCAGATCCATTTAGGTCTAAATCAACGGTTCTCAACCTATGGGTCACGACCCCATTTGGGGTCAATCGACCATTTCACGGGGGTTGCCAAGCAAGGCTGTCCGCCATTTTTTCCCCCTTTTCCGGCAGGTGCCTTACCTCCCTTGAGCTGGGCCAGCTGGTGGCCCAGCTGGTGGTCAGCCTGCTCCGTCTCTGCTGCTTGCCAGCTACGCCTCGGCCGGCGCAGGGGGCGACACCACACATGCGCGGCACTCCCGGGCAGGGAAAGTCCTTGACTTATGACCAGTTGGGTAGTCCTTGACTTACGACCGGTTTAGTCCTCGACTTACAACCGGTTTAGTCCTCGACTTACGACCGGTTGGGGGTTGCGGCATTAAAAAGGTTGAGAACCACTGGTCTAAATAATGCAAAATTGTGTATGTTTACATTATTAGCTTATAGTCAAGATGAGTTGCCTTCCAGGAATAAAACTTTAGACATCAGACAGATAAGAGGTAAGATAGACAGATATAGAAACATAGATACATACACACACAAACACACTATATATATATATATATATATATATATATATATATATATATATATATATATATATATATATATATATATCTCCTGCCTTTATTATTATTTTTAAATAAATAACTCAGGATGGTTAACAAACATAACACACTTTCCTTTGCCTCATACAATAATCCTGTAAGGTGAGTTTTGCTGAGAGGTAATCACTTGCCAACTCAGCTGGTTTTTATGTCTAAGACAGGAATAACGACTAGATTTATACTGTAATAAAGAATAATAATGCAAATAAAAACTCACAAAAAGTAAGTTACTTTCATTTTCATTGGTAAAATGGTATTTATTTACAAGTCAAATGAGTCTGCGGATTTACAGATGTACTGTATATTAAATTCAAAAATGTTATGAGATTAAGGTCATGGTTATTTTGTTCAGTTATGTAATTATTATATTTAGTACAGTATCCCTCTATCTTCTTGTTTGAATTATAAATTTGTGTTTCTATCAGTTCATTTTTCAATTGTGTTTTATCAGTGTGAAGCATAACACATTTAAAACAATGTTATCCTAATAGCTAGGCAGTATAAAGTTTGTTTATAAGCATGTCCAACTGGGCTCACTGGGTTGCAGCCTTTTCAGTTAATGAGTCCGGATTAGAAAATATTCAGAAATATGATTTGTGTGGCTTCCCAGCTGTTTTGCTTTCTCCCCTTTCCTTATAAATACTAATCAGGATAGAATACATTTTTCATTTATGTTTAAAGTTTATACACACCATTGTTTCTATATAGATGTAAACAATATAATAATATATTTATTTCCCCCATTGATATGATTTTTTTCCTACTATAAATCTGAAGTATTTTTTCCATGGGCATGAATATTTATTTTGCTATGTAGTGCATTAATAACTTTTATTTTTACATAAACAAACAGGAAAAGGCAAAATACATTTCAGGTTGCATTTTAAAGTAATGTTTTTATTGATAAGAGTCTATGCTGTAAACAAAACCAGCTATAAAACAAAATAAAGGTAGCTAGCAAAGTATCTAGGCTGATAATTCTGGGTTTTACATTCTCAAAACTCTAGATTAAGACACCTTCATATTTAGCTCAGTTATTCTTCAATTTTAGTTTTCAGCTACATTTTATAGATACCACTCACAATACGTTGGCCAATTCCACTCATAACATACTGGCCAATTCATCTATATTATTAGCATAGCAATATTGCATTTATTCAAATCATCTATGGCAAGTATAGGTAGTCCTCGACTTATGACCACAATTGAACCCCAAATTTCTGTTGTTAGGTGAGATATTTAAGTGAGTTTTGCCCCATTTTACAACATTTCTTGCCACAGTTCTTAAGTGAATCACTGCAGTTGATAAGTTAGTAATCTGGCTGTTAAGTGAATCTGGCTTCCCGATTGACTTTACTTGTCAGAAGGTTGCAAAAGGTTATCTGCAATGGTCATAGGTATGAACCAATTGCCAAGCATCTGAATTTTTATTATATGATCATAGGGATGCTGCAAAGGCCATAACTGTGAAAAACAGCCATAAGCCACTTTTTTCAGTACCATTGTAATTTTGAACATTCACTAAATGAACTGTTGTAAGTCATGGACTACCTGTATGTTCTCATAACAAGTGGCCAATCAAAATGCACGTAATTGGATGCAAATGAAAAGGCTGACATACTGTAAATTTAAGCATTTCCTATGGACTGTGTCAATATAAAACAGGGGTGTCAAACTGCCGGCCTGCGGGCTGGATGCGTCATGGCGAAAACGCGCTTACCCCATTGCCGGCATTGGAAAAAAAAGTCATAATACGTCGCAACGTATCACATGACGTTGCGAGTTTGACACCCCTGATATAAAACAAGTCTTCAGGAAGTAACTTTCTTTCAGTAGTTGTCATGAGAATGCAATCTTTGTTTAAAGATCAGTGGAGAAAGGACTTGATTATAGAACCCCACAGATGTTTATGGGCACCACAGATTCATCATTTATTATCACATAAGCTATTATGGATTAAATTTCATCAGATATGTAGAGTAAGTCTAGCGCAAACTTTTGACAGACAAACCAGAAAGGAGGTAAAGAGAGACAAGAGCTAGAAGTGACATTCTTACACTGATAAATTGAAGTTTTTGTCTAATCTATGGGACATGGCATTACATTTTCTAGTGAATTCTAGCTCAACTATTTAGCAGTGAAATTGGATCTCTGTAACTGATTTTCTTAAGGATAGCCACCTTGAGATTAATGAAAAGTCCTAGAGACTGGAATATTTGGCCCACTAGCTCGGGTATATGAACACTTCTGATGTCATGTTTGTGTCAGTTTGTCGGCAATGCTGACATTTAACAGTATTTACACCATAGTGGAGGATAAGTAAGCTATGATCCCATGTTCAAGGGGCACCACTAAAGCAGATCTCCACGCATTTACCTAACCTTAAACTCTATAAGCCATTTATTCTTCCTGTTCAAAAAAAAAAGTCTCCTTCGAGGTGCCATAATTCATCAACTGCCAGCAGACTTACATTTCGGGCCTGCTCCTTTGTTAGCTGTTTAACAGGTTCTAATTTAGCAAAACTGATAGCAAGGACGCTTAATTCGAAATCGCCCGCTAAAAATGCTATCGGAACCTCCTCAAACCTTTCCCTCATTCCTGCGCTTCAGCCTATGAAAACAGGGCAATTCTCTTACTCGTTTCCCCCTAATTCAGAGGTGGGGAACTACAGTCCCTTTATGACTTGTGGACTTCAACTCCCAAAATTCCTGAGCCAGCGATGCCGGCTCAAGAATTGTGGGAGTTGAAGTCCATAAATCCTAAAAAGGCCATAATTCCCAAAACTGCCCTAATTCGACAGGTAAATTGGCCCACCCACCATCCCAAAGCGCCGCCTTTAGTATCCAGGTTCCGGAAGTCCAGCTGAACCGTGTGAATCCCTTTTCAAGCCTCTGCAGTTATATTTGGTTCCCTTCCGCTTCGGTGTTAGTCGATGACGTGATCTCTACGTCCTTTTTAATGGCTCTTGAGAGAGCTTAGACTCCAGTATAAAGGAAAGTGAAAGCCACTGTCCTGAAGAGACTTTGTAGACCGTGGTGTTTCATGAAACTGACCACTACAAAACGGAGCAAATTCTTCAATCTAACCCACTTCTAACCCTGACCCGTTTTCTGCCGTACCCCTTCACTCTCTTATGAGGAAAAAAAAATAGTGAAGTTATAAGGTGCTGCTCATTCCTGGTTTTATTAATTTTTATAAGGGACATTCAAAACAAGATAAATATCTTTCCTCTCTCTACTTGTCTATGGAGATTCCTAGTCATCCAGGTTGTGATTGTTCCAAAGGTGTTTTTTCAAGAGGCAACAGGACTTTCTTGTTTTTCTTTGAAGATGTTTCGCTTCTCATCCAAGAAGCTTCTTCAGTTCTGATTGGATGATGGAGAATGGAAGGATTTATATTGAATTATATTGAATGCAAATGACCAGCTGTCTGCAAGGAATATAAATCCTTCCATTCCCCACCATTCAGTCAGTGGTCCAGCCTATCGTCAGAAATAGTAGTAGGTGCTTCATCACTTAAAGTTTTTAAGAAGAGACTGGACAGCCACTTGTCTGAAATGGTATAGGATCTCCTGCTTGAGCAGGGGGTTGGACTAGAAGACCTCGAAGGTCCTTTCAAGCTCTATTCCGATCGATTGAGAAACGAAACATCTTCAAAGAAAAACAAAGTCCAGTTGCCTCTTGAAAAAAAGCACCTTTGGGATTCCCCTCCTTTCTGTGCCTCATCAATTCCCCGAATCTCCCCGGGAGGAATAAATTAGGGAGGGGTAGAGAAGACAGACTGAGTGCGGACGAAATGAGAGGAGCAGACAAGAGCTCGGGCTGCTCTTCCAGTTTCCTATCTCTGCAACCCGTCCAAGCTTTCGCCTCAGGACCGAGGAAGCGAATGGGGCGGGGCTGCGTCTCCCTTCTGCAGGAAAGGCGCGAGCTTGGCTGAGGGGCCGCGTTGGGTGAGGGGGGCGGGAAGAGGCATCCCGCCCGCCTTGGACGGGCTGTGCACCATGAGTTTCCTGATCGATTCCAGCATTATGGTCGTCTCCCAGGTACCGGGCTTCTCTGTTCCACGTCAGCCTAGGCTGAGGCGCGCAGCAGCGAAAGGCGGGAGAAGCCGGGCAGGAGGGGCAGTCCTGCTTCCGGGTAGAAGGGAATCCTGGCCTTACAAGGGACGATGGAGGGAGGGGGGACGGGGGACCGCGAATTTAGTTGCTTCCTTTTGTCCAGCCGAGCACGGCCCCTCTTAAGTCAAGGGCGTAATCGCGCGTGGGAAAGCTCGGCTCCTCCTTTAGAAGTTGCTTTTGTTTTCTTTTAGAGGAGTTATCCCACCTAAGAGGGTTCCGGTGAATTAACTTCTGCTTGCAGTGGCACGTAATGACCAAGTACTCGGGGTTGCATTTGTGAATTGAGCCTCGGAAAATGTGCGTAGGCCTGGATTCCTCTTAACTGGTTGTGTTAGCGTGACGTGGTGCACCGTGATTCAGTGAGCCATGGTTTACTCAATGTTGAGGGTTTGTTGCACGACATCTTAAACCATTATTAACTGTAAAGGCTGGCCTCACAAGAGTGATTGTGCGCCCTCAAATCGTTTTCGACTCCTAGCAACAGCAGAGATCTTCACGATGATTTAGGGCAGTGTTTCTCAACCTTGACAATTTTAAGGCATGTGGACTTCAACTCCCAGAATTCCACAGCCAGCAATGCTGGCTGTGGAATTCTGGGAGTTGAAGTCCACATGCCTTAAAATTGTCAAGGTTGAGAAACACTGATCTAGGGCTAGGCCTAGCCTAGCCTTTTTCAAGTCTGAGAGTGAAGGTTGGTTCTCTGAGCTTGTGAGTTGGCTGTTCAGGTCTTCCAAAGGTGCACTCATCATCACTACTGTCACCGAGTCCACCCACTTTGGTGCTGGTCGTCCTCTTCTCTGTCCTTCCACTTTTTCAAGCATTTATGCCCTTTGTAGATAATTTGAGCCGGGTCACAAATGCCTATTGGCTGAGACACGGTTTAATGCGTTGCACATGCAAATTTTATAGCAAACCCGTTTAATCCAGTTTGTTTTAGGTAAAGTGATCTTTGAAACAGATGCTTGATATACTTTACCTGCTACCCATAAAAAGTGAAAGCAACTGAGCTTTCACTTTTGGTGAAGGAAATAAACCAAGACCTCCCTTGAAGCAGGATTTTTGAAACTTTACAGAATAATCAAAAGTATTGTTTTTCTATGAATTCTTCAGATAGGCATTCATTAACAACATTCTCTAAATTACATACATCGATAAATCTTGGTGCAACTTAAAACTTCTATACATAGCAATACTCAGTTTATTGTAAAAAATTGCGTTACAAATACAGGGATAGCAAAATATGTTGTAAATCCTACTTGTAGGAATGGTTTAAGACATGAGCCCCCAACATTTTGGGTACCAGGGACCAGTTCTGTTGAGAGAGATTTTTCCGCAGACAGGAGGGGTGTGATTTTATGTGCTGCTTGCATCCCGTGGATAGGGCTTCGCTTGTTTGTGCAGCCCGGTGCTGGTCCATGGACTGGGGTGTTGGGGACCCCTGGTTTAAGACAAACATGTAGCAGAAGTTGGTTAGCAATGTTTTCCCATTCTGTGTAATAGTATATATTGAGATCAGGGTATTCTGTACCAAAGGTGAGCAGTTTGTTCAGTCCTGGATTTGAAGGGTTCCTTTTAAGCATATATCATTTAATATAAATTTCAGTTAATAAATATAGTGTCAAAGCAAGAATATACAGTATTTGTATAAGTGTTTCATTAGTCAGAACCTTGACATCTAGTTTAATAAAGTATATGCATAATTCTAATACATTTAATAAGAGTTAATGAAATATTAACAATTAGAATTTAGTAGCAGCAATTCTTAGAGGTCTTTATGAATTATACACAAAGTTTTAGTAGGATCAGGTTGGGATCTTGAGTGCTACACTAAGATGCAGTTTAAGTTTGTGAAACTGTTTAGAAGTTTTATCTCTTGCCAAATAAGTCAACATTAATCTTTACATTGATAACTTTTTTCAGTAATTTTAAGATCATGAAATTCAAGGTTTTGAATTCTCCAAAACTGTTCATTATAAAAAACAGAGAAAGGAAAAAAGTCCCAAATACTGATTCTGTAAGATTTTGAGATAGCTAAATTTAAATGTCTTTCAAGGTCTGCTGAAATGAAGAAACAAAAGCAAAGAACAATTCTCCATTTTAGAAAATATGCAAGATATCCCCCATTTTCATGGAAACACCTGCATTTAATAAATAAAAATATAAGAATAAAATTACATGAGGGGCAGTCACTAAGAAGCCAATTGTAAATCAAGGATTACCTATATCTGTGGTGGTGAATCTATGGCACGCATGCCAGACTGGGCACGCAGAGCCCTTTTTGTTGGCACGCACACCAGAGGGACGCTCTCCTCCCTCTCTCCACGTGCACCTGACTAGTGGGAACTGGATAGGGCAGGGAAACCCAATCCAGCAGCGCTTTCTCACGGGAACAGCTGCGAGAGCTGGGCGGGGAGAGGGGAACCTATAAAAGCAGGTTTTGGCAGGAGTGCAGCGAGACTGAGTGAACGAGCAGATAGCCTTTGGAAGCAATGGTGGGTGAGTTTGGAGAAGACAAGTAGGACGAGGCATCCATTTGCGTTTTGCAGAAGGCTAGCGGTGAAAGGAAGACACGTAATTTTGAACTTTGGAGAAAGTCTGTCATGACCATTGTAGCCACGCTCGCCTGGTGGGCCATGCCCACCCAGCGGGCCATGCCCACCCGGCATCCAGTGATACATAAGTGGGTTTTGGGTTGCAGTTTGGGCACTCGGTCTCTAAAAGATTCGCCAGACTGACCTATATGCTTACACTAATATCTCACTTTGCATAGTGCAGAAGTTCTTTTTTTTTTTTAACCAAATGATTAAAATTAATATTCTCCAGGACATACAGAATAGTTTCAAGAACCAAAATGGCTTTATGCAACAGTTTCTTTTTTATAAATGTTATGTAAATAATAATGAGATATTCCCTTCTGTGAAATTTTGTTCTGTTTTATCCTTTATGTTTTGTTTGTTAAATATTTTTCATGACCTAGAGACATATTTATGCAGTCTCCGCAAAACACTTAACTTTCCTCAGGGTTCAGAATGAGCTTTTAAATTGAAAAATGTAGCTACAATAGTGGTACAATGAGTGTTTTAAAATGTTTGTGGTTAAAGCAAATAATTCATCTATCCAACCATTAAACACACACTTATAAATATGTTTCGGTTTATCAGGTTATCTTACCTTCATAACAACAGCATTTTTTCATATGCTAATATACTTTGAGAGTTCCACATTTTGCAAACAGCATTCTAGCCATTAGCTATCATACACATACACAGAAGCACAAAACTGATGGAAGAAAAAGACCTAGTAGTCCATTAAGTCTGTTCTTTGTGTTTATTTGCTTTTTTGTTTTCTTTTTAATTCATTTTTAATTATTATTTTCATATTTATTTTTACTTTTTATTTTATATTTTTGTCAGATGGTGGGCATGTGTTTAGGTCAAGCACTGAGGGCACTGAGTTTACAGTTAACTGATAATATCCTTTTTATTTGCTTCTCCAGGTGCTGTTTTTTGGATTTGGATGGTTGTTCTTCATGCGCCGGCTCTTCAAAGATTATGAGGTGAGATATTTAAATTATAAATTAATAGCAGTAATCTGGGCAACATACATACTAGTTTAAATCTAATAATTACAACAACAGTTAAACAGTTAAAACCAATAGCAAAAACAACGGGTTTTATTGTAAATTGGAATTTTTGTGATTGGAAAAATAAATTCCATTTTACCATAAAAACAACATAAGCTGGAAGAGTTCACTTAACTTCCCAGCCCAAATGTTTAGGGGAACAGCCAGGTTTTTAGTGCCATGCACAAGGCTAACAGCAACTAGACTATTAGGAATTAATCAGAACACTGACTTCTAATTGAAACTTCCTTGTGATTTAAAAGTAAAACCACCAATGTAGATTATGTAAAAAAAAAATTACACATTGTAATATGCCTTATAAGGATGCACAAACTCTGCACTTGCACAGAAGTAGACATTTAGTAGAATTGAAGGCATTTGAAAATTGTCAAAAAAAATAGATACTTTTAAGATTTTTAAAAAGTCTGCCATTGTCCTATATGAAAACAGTCATCCAGAGAAATTAATGCTAAGGAAATAAATTTTAGATTAAAACCTTTATTTAAAAAATATTTTTCTCTTTTTGAAAAAATGTTCAGACTGGGAATGTAAATATATATTAGTACAGATTTTATCTCAGCAAATACATGCTTATATATATCATCCTGTATGTATTTAATTCCATGATAGTCTGATCTTTTATTTTTGTTATGGATGTCCATCACTTCCATAACAAGTACATAAAAATTAATTCAAAAATGTTTATGTTCGCTTCGTTACAGGTTCGGCAGTATGTTGTACAGGTTGTCTTCTCTGTAACCTTTGCTTTTTCATGCACCATGTTTGAACTTATCATTTTTGAGATTCTAGGCATCCTAAGCAGCAGGTAAGATGACACTAAATTCCAGCTGCATAAAGATGGCACTGGGATCTTAGTATAATTGATAGATTTGCTTATTTATTTGTGGCTTCATCGCCATTTAATGTTTTAGCATGTTTAAAAATAAGACGTGAGTATACATTATTAATGTGCAGCTGGGTGCTGAAACAAAGTAGAAAAATGATGGCAAGGATGTTTTATTATTTGTTTCTTTTCAAAAATGTTGCTGTTAAGTACTGACAGCATTCCTAAGGGTAATGACACATTAAAGAAATTGCCACAAATGGTATGATATAAATTATTGGTTCTCTGATCTAAAATTACTAAGCTTTCCAAGCAGTATCAGCAAATGCCAAAATATGTATGGTTCCCAAATGCACTTAATTCTATTTGTATAACTCCAATTCAGTGAACACATATTTTCCTCAATAATTTATGTATTATTTACTAAAGTATCTTTGCTTGTTAATGAACACTTGCCCTTTGAGGGGCATTGATGAAAATCTTTATATGTTTTTTGGACTTTAAAGCTTAAAATGCATGCTTTTAGACAAATAATAAAGAAATGTGTCTTCAGAAATTACACTAATGGGAAACTATATAACTTTGACTTTTTTTAAAAAAAATTGACTGGTGGAAAGGAGATCAAATAAAAGTATCTGAACAATTGACATAATTTTGACAAGAACATTTAATGTACAACTTTGTATATAGTCTATTACTGTGCATATTTCTAAAATTATATTTGATTATAAGTGTAATTTTTTTATATTTTATGCAGAGAATTGCTTTCTAGATAAAAAGTAAAGCTAAAATTATTTTGTGACAATGATTAAATAGTCATCAATCCTTCCCTTACTTCCAGCTCTCGGTATTTCCATTGGAAATTAAATCTTTGCGTGATTTTGCTTGTTCTGGTGTTCATGGTGCCCTTTTACATTGGTTACTTTGTTGTGAGCAACATCCGATTGTGTAAGTAGCATGAATATTGAAAATAAAAATTATAGTGGCACTATAATGTTTAAATAATATTTTTCAGTGTAATTAACATAACATATTAATTTTCTTTCTATTACTTTCAGTACACAGACATAGACTTATTTTTGCCTGTGTTGTCTGGCTAATATTTATGTATTTCTTCTGGAAACTGGGAGATCCATTTCCTATCCTTAGTCCAAAACATGGTGAGTTTTATTATTTCATTAACTTATAAGTGCACATCTGACTGTTTTTTTATTTGTTCAGCTATAGATGGGAACTTCTGTTGCTGTGACTGCCTTTTGGAACAGAATACTATCCCGCCTTCCCCCCCCCCCCCCCAAAAAAAACTGATGGTGCTGACCCTGTTGGTTTTCCATAAGGTTTTGAAAACCTGGCTCTCTCCCAACCATTGGGCTACGGTGTTGGATAAACTCTTCTTGCAAGGAGCACAGTGGTTCGAGTGGTTGGGAAGGCTGGGCAGGAGGTTAGCAAGCCCGTGTTTGAGACCTGAGAGCTGTTGTGAGGGAGGATTAAGTTCTCATCCTTCACTCCAGCTCCTGGGGACATGAAAGGAGCCCCCAACTGGGAGTCCCCAAGGCAACAGTGTCACTTTGAACCTGGAAGTGCTCAGTGCTTCTGATTTGAATGCAAAAAAGCTCTTCTTGCAGTGTTTTGAGAATATAAACATGTTTGTGGTTTGCCTTGGTTGTACTAAGTCAGTGGTTCTCAACCTGTGGGTCGGGACCCCATTTGGGGTCGAACGACCATTTCACGGGGGTCGCCAAACAAGGCAGTCCGCCATTTTTTCCCCCTTTTCCTTAGCTGTGCTACTCCCTTTTATTCTATTGGCTTTTGAAAGCCAATAGAATAGACTCTCTTGAATAGAGTCTAATTCTATTGGCTTTCAAAAGCCAATAGGAATTGTCCAGGCTGTCTCTGCCCTGCTGAGCCCGCCAAAAGTCCCATTCTGCAAATGGTGCTGCACCAGTTGGGGGTCGCGGCATTAAAAAGGTTGAGAACCACTGTATTAAGTAGTTCTTGCTTAATTATCGTAATTGGAAATGGAATTTCCATCACTAAGCAGAGCAGTTGTTAGGTGATACATCATGTGATCACACCACTTAGTTACACCTGCCTATCTCCACATTTCTGCATTTTTGGTGATTATGTACATCACTATTGCCTATCACTGCTGCCCCCATAACATCCCCAGTTGACTTTCACCATCTTCTTCCTGCTGCTACTGCATGCCCTGGCCTCCCTGGATAACAAGGCATCCACGTATGTTAGTGATGCGCAAGTTGGGACTGCAAATAGTCATAATGCAATAATGGAATTAATGATTTGGAACAACTTCATGGCCAATAGGGGTCAGAACAAAAATACTGGAATTCCCGCTAGATCTAATATTTGCTTGCATGTGATTACAGTTCTGAAGGGAGCCCTAGTTTGTAAAAAGTTATTTCTAAGTAGACAATCACATTGTTAAGTTTAACAAAGACTTCAGTTTAAAATTGTAAATTAGCTTCATTACAAGATATAAGTGGTCCTCAACTTACAACATAATTTATGGTATTCTGGCTTTTCTTGTTTCATCATTTTTAAGGGCTCTGAAGATTTTTCAGTTAAATTTGTATGTAATCAAATAAATAAAGTAAGCAGAAACCAAAATTCATAGTGAGTTCCAGAAGCAGAATTAAGTGAGATGTGCTACAGTGAACTGAACTATATTGCTGTCTTTGCCAGTTTTCAAGTAAGGGTACAAGGCATTCTGTCTCTTTCACTGATAATGATATTAGAAGCCACAACAACCTGGTTCTTTATCTACTTTCATTCAATTTATTATATTTCAGTTTGGCATAAAACAAAAGAAAGCATTATTGACTAGGGAAAATTAGACACTATTTGGGAGTACTCATTTTCAGTTGAAATTTTTCACTTAATCCAGAATGATTCCAAGATAATGACAGCTGTATTAAAAGTTATGGTTCATTTTTTTCTAATCTTGGCAAAGCAGTCTGTTAAATACACAGATAGGTTTTTGCCCATTACAAGAGCACACCTGAGGGTTCTTACGAAGGAGTATCTAAATAATTAAAACAAAATGGTGTAGATCTAATATGGTAATGAGATTCTGCTTTTTTATTGTTTTCAGTAAATGTAATGATGAAATTAACCTTGTGGTATTTTCTTTTTAACAGGAATTCTATCTATAGAACAACTCATCAGTAGGGTGGGAGTGATTGGGGTAACCCTCATGGCCTTGCTCTCTGGCTTTGGTGCAGTGAATTGTCCATACACGTATATGTCTTATTTTCTCAGGTAAATCTTCCGTCCTCAAAAAGATTCAAAGCAGTTTTAAAATCCATCTGTCTGTTTCTACCTCTCTCTCTCTCTCTTTCTTCATGTCTATCTGTCTGCCTGTCTGTATCTGTCTATCTCTATGTATATATGTATGTATGTCTATTTGTATTTGCAGTTTTTGTTGTAATCCAGTTATGGAGAAGAATCAGAGAATAGCTGGAATTAGGAAGAGATTGTTCTAGAAATCATAGGAATAATTCTAGATATATACATCTATTATAGGAATGTCACAGATGCTGATATTCTATCCCTAGAACGTCGACTCCTCCAGACAATGGACATGATCATCAGCAAAAAGAAAAGGTCAGATAAAGATATTAGAGCATCTTAGTGTCCAACAAGAAATTATTTGCTATTGAACAAGAATTTATATCATAAGATCCTGATATAAGTGTGGGTGAAATCTGAGCAAAGTACAGATCCAAATTTTATCTCAATTTGTTTACTTGGGTACTTATCTGAATTAGTATTCTGTTTAGAATGTAAAATTAATATAAGATTTATAGTATAGTAGTATTAAACCTCGGTTAAACTGTGTTACTTAATATATTTTGAAGAACAGTATGGATGTTCTCTTGACTAATACTTAAAAAAGTTTCAACTTTCTTCATTACCAGCTAGCAAGGTTAAAGGTTAGATCTATTTTAGGAATAATTCATTAGAATATCCCTGATTTAAATGAGTCACCTCCAGTAATAAATACATGTAAATGTAATTCATAGAATGTAATGTAGTTTATTCCTAATTGGAAGCACTTTTTACTTTGACATAATACCGTGAACAGTAGCACACTTCTACACCAAATCTGCTTGATTTTTTTCTGAATGGAATTCTGAATGTTCCTTTAATTTTTGAATGCCAGACTTTATAAAACATAAAAAATACAAATATTTACAGATTAGCTACGTTATGTGATTTGGTTCTAGTTGATATTTTATGATTTTACATTCCTAACTTTGTCTCCCAATCAGGATAGCAATGGTTCACAGAAATATGTTCCAGAGAGGGGAAGTGCACAACAAAACCACTGGTTTCTGGGGAATTATAAAAAGTGTCACAACATCTTCACCAGGAGGTGAAAGTATCCTTTACTTGCAGACGGAGGCCCAAAAATCAGCTTGCTTCCTTTTACAATAAATGAAAAAAAAAGTAGAATATTTTATTAATGGGTTGTATTAAATTACTTTCCTTTCAGCTTTTGGAGATCATATACTTGAAGAGAATAATATCAATCCAAGTTTGCAATGTTAAGCACTGACATCTAATCTGCTAGGACACTTTCATCACCACTTGAGCATTAAGTAGTAATTTATATAACTGACAATATGCAAGAATAGAAAGCCAGGTATAATGAATTTAAGCAATCTAATTTTTATAAAATAGCATTTTCCATTATAGTTTCCATTTTACTCAGTATTAATAGAAACAACTGATTTATCTATAAGGGAAAATAAAATTTGTGACTGATTATACTTTAAAATGCTTTATGTTGTGGATTGGTTTATTGTGATTGCATGTTTGCATTATATAGGATTCAGCTGTTCTTAAAGGAGAATAAGGTCAAAATTTTATAAAAAGCAAAATGTTTAACATTAAGGATTATTTACTTATAAGTAAATCTGCAAATATGACTAGTCTGACTTAAGGACCGGTTGCTTAGTAATCATTCACAGTTATAATTAATCCCACAAAGGGGATTTACAATCTGGTTTAGAAATTTCTATGTGCCTTTTCCTGCATTGACTGCATTTAGGGCGCTCAGTAACTGGCCCACGTTTAGGTTCATTTGCAGTGCATTGCAGTCACGTGACTGCAATTTACAACTGTTTAGCTGAAAACTGGTATTTACTTCTGGTTTCCAGCAAAAACTGGCCCATAGTGAACAGTGATTTCACTTAACTACTTTGTATGCTTAACAACTACAGCAAAAGTCATAAAAGTGGGTTTGGTCACATGGTGATCTCCTTTACAGTCATCACAATTTACGGCCATAATTTTGGGGCTCAATTATGATCATAATTCGGGGACTACCTGTATTTGGCATTTTCTGTTTCTTTATGAAACGCATCGGTATTAATAGTTGTCATAGATTTTTTTAAAAATTGGATGTTTAAATAATAACACCCTCAGTAGTCATTCTTCCTGTTTCCTTTGGGCACTTCAGATTAAAACCAATGTATAAAATGCCTGGGGAGAAAATATCTACTGCAATATGAATACCATGTATATCTCCTTAGGGCAGTGTTTCCCAAACTTGACAATTTTAAGGCATGAGGACTTCAACTCCCAGAATTCCACAGCCAGCGTTGCTGGCTGTGGAATTCTGGGAGTTGAAGTCCTCATGCCTTAAAATTGTCAAGTTTGGGAAACACTGCCTTAGGGAAAGTACTGCAGAGTGGTGCTTAATAACTGAGAAGGAACTTTCATTTTACTTATAGTAGTTGTTCTCTGTGTAGTCAGCTGTTTATCTTTATTGTTCAAAAGAAATGATCCAAGTCCCCAAGCAGTTATGTATGTATAGGAAGAGGCTTTCTTTTAAACATTCTTATTTCAACACTTCAGAACATTAAATGACTGGCCTACTTTAAATAATGGCCTGAAATTAACTACGGGCTATATGACTGACATGATTTCTTTAATTTAGTAAAGTAGCACTTTTATTTTAGATAAGTTTCAACTTACTGGTCTTCATCCAGTCCATTACCTTAGTTCTAATTCAGAACATTTACCAGAATAGCAGAAAATAAAAATCTAAATGTCATTTCAATGTACGTTTCCTGGATAATCTTTTCCAGTAAACATTGAATAAAATCAGGAATTAAATGAAGTCCTACTTATTTATGTAATAATTATTCCCTTAGTCTTTTCTGGGGACAGCCTGACAAATAGGAACGTAATGAGTATAAAACAATACTCCCTTTTCAAAAACCTATTCCATAAGGATACCATATTCAATTGTTTTGAAAGCTAATTAGAAAGCCAGGAGATCAGCAAGACTACATTTTCCTGTATCCTATTGCTCAGGAAAGATTATTCTGTAGCACGATTGAGGTAATTTCTGAACCAACTTGGATATTTATTCAAATTGAAATAGATCTAGAAAATCACCTTCATTTCAAAATGTCTGGATAAAGTGTGTAAATAAGTATTTTCTATCCAGAAAGAGATGTTAAAAATGATCTGCAATTATCTCTATAGTTATGTAATATTTTATTCATTTGCACCCTTTATTTTGTTCCTGTAGATGGCAATAATGAGTAATGTCTGATTTCATGTCCAAGTTATTTACAGACATTTAAAAAAACCTTTTAAATAGTGTGTCTTGCCATACATATTGTTTTAAAAATTGTACTTTTTCAAATATTTCAAATTTTATTTTATATCTACTATGTGTTAAAGAATAAAATAAAATTTGAAATATTTTTTTCAGATTTTAATGAATTGGTTCTTCATCACAATGGTTACACTAATATTTTTTATATAGGCAAGGTGCATCGATGTATACAGTATACTGGATAAATCTATACACTATGAAATATGCTTTTGTTTGTTCCCCTCCTTTTTTAACATTAATAAAATCTTAAAAAAGATATCACAGTATTGTTTTTCTGTTGATTATTGGGTTTGGGGAATAAAATCACACTTAAAAAAGAAATATGTTTTTCAAAATTATTAATGATTTTGAGCTTGACTATCTTGGTTTTAAGATTTGACACTCATCCAGCAAGAAATTGATGCTTTAGAGGAACTTAGTCGACAGCTTTTCTTGGAAACAGTTGATTTGCAAGCTACCAAGGTGCAAACTAAGGGCATTGTTCCCAAGTCTGATGGGTGGGTAACTGGGATTGATATATGAGAGAAAATGTGAGAAAAACCTGGAAAATTAAATGAGCCAAGAGAAATGTTATGACTTTATGATACTGGCCTATTTTTTATGTTAAAAGCTTGAACAACTTTAAAACAAGTCTGTTTATAGAAAAAAAAATGCAGTATAAATATGAATGTTCTGCAAATTGAAACTTTCCAGAAATAGATATCAGGCTTTGTGACTCAAAAGACAGGCTTAGAATACCAGAAATTTGGTTTTGTTCCTGTATTCTGTAATTTCAGTTCATTTATGTTAGACAAACGTTGATTTTGCAATTCCATAGATTCATTATCTATTAAGAAGCTAAACAACTTTGTCTGTAGAAATGATCTGAACTGAATATAAAACTATATGCTAGTTCAGAATAATAAATCTAAATGTTTTCTCTCTCTCTGGAAAAAAATCTATTTGCAGGAAAGAATAGAATATTCTAAAACATTCCAAGGGAAATATTTCAACTTTCTGGGTTATTTTTTCTCCATTTACTGTGTCTGGAAAACTTTTATGGTATGTAAAACTGCTGTTGGTACAATCATTTATAATTTGTAGTGTGACAAAATATGCTTAATAAAAAGAATGCTTTCTAAACCTATCATTTTTTTTAAAAAAATGTGTTTTGTTGATTATAAATACAATCACATTTTAAACCAGAATGGACATTTTTTTCTCATACAGAAACATTGCCTATGAAAGATAAATGTGTATATCTTACAATGGTTTTAGTGAAAGTATCTGTTATATTTCTGTCTTTCATGTCTTCAGGCAACAATCAATATTGTATTTGACCGAGTTGGGAAAACAGATCCAGTAACAAGAGGAATTGAGATTACTGTGAATTATTTGGGGATACAGTTTGATGTAAGAGCTCATTTAGATTTTAATCCTACCTACCGATCCCCATATTCATTCTTAATTTCTGTTTTATAGAGAGCTTGAAAATGTAATATTAAACTTTTTTTGAAAGTATACTCTTGGGAAATTTATTTGTCTATAGCTGCTGTTAAGGTAATATATTATGAGAAGACAATGATTTATTTATCTTTCTGTATAATTCTTGGATCTTATTTTTTTAAGAAATTTAATATCTTAAAGTACTTGGGAGGCCCTGGGGTACAAGAGACAATTATAAATAGCTCAGCCTTAATTCTGCATTGTTTCTGTATGCAGTGCTAAGAATTGTTTTTTTTTTCTGAAAGTATTCTTGCTAATACAGGAAGTCTTCATTTAACGCCCGCAATTGGGATGGCACCTTGGTTGCTAAGTGAAACTGTGACTGTGCTTATAGTCTTATTTCCTTTGCTTTACAGACCTGTGAAGGTTGGAAAGTGAGGACTGGTCACAAAGTTACTTTTTCATCACCATGATTGCTAAACAAGGACTACTTGTACTGTTGAAAAAGCTCTGTGCACATAAATAGCAAAGATAGCCTTTCATGTCCTACATGGTCAATGTAGTTGTCTGTATCTCTGCAGGTTTAACCATTTCCTGTCTTTATTACTACAGGTAAAATTCTGGTCCCAGCATATTTCATTTATTCTTGTTGGAATAATTATTGTCACCTCTATCAGGGGCTTATTAATAACACTCACAAAGGTAAGCCCAAGTGCAGTCTTACTATATGAACTGTGTTGAAGTAAAGAAGAGAGCATATTAATATATCAGTCTGTAAAAGTGTTATGGCTGAATTGTAAACTTCAAAAATATGGAATCACTGCAGGAAGCTTTAAGTTGAGTTTGTCTTGTTATTGTTGTTCTGAGAAGTTCCCAACATTTGGTCTACCACCTTATAGAGATGTGCCGTATTAAGACCTGTAGTAACCCAGAATAGTTTTTAAGGTCAGAGTTGGGGAACAAAGTTTTCCAATATGTGATTGTTTAATAAGTCACAATAAAACATTGGTATTGATTTTATTAAGTGAAAGAAAATTGCTTGACATTAAGTGACCATTTTTCATTTAGATATGTTTTAACAGTACAGGGATGATATAAAAGTGCTTTTTTATATATAATAGTTTTGTTGTATCATATTGCAAATGATAGTCATGATCTTAGTGAAGTGCTGTTGTTTTTATGCACACTAGAAAACATCTCAAGGGGTTAGTTATCATTGGCCAATCCTGCCATGTCAGCAATATGTTTAGTTGCACACTGCTCAAGTACCACTATTTATAGCTAAAATGTGATAATTATTACTTAAACAGTCCCATTTATCCCTGGGCTATGCCATTTGTGTTGGATTTGCAAAAATACAGATTGCTATTTCTGTAAACATAACAGCATTTTTCATCTAAATTCTGCAGTTCCTTGGGCTAACCTACTTATTCACTTAAATGCAAGTCCGAAGATCATAAGGACTGCTTGCATGTAGGACAAATTATTGTTATTATTATTTAAATGATTCTGGGTGAATGTGGAGTGGAATGTGAAGTATGCTAAAATATGCATAATGGAAAAATAAAAGTTTTAACACACATTACATTGTTTTTAAGAAGCAGTTCTAATGATGATGATTACATTAAGCATGAAGATGTGTTATTATTATTAATGTGACTTCTTTTTAATTTAGCTCTAAAACATTTATTAAATCATGTTTGCCATGTTATCATTATTTCAGCCTGTGAGCTGACTTTCTGTGCTTATCTTTCTTAGTTTTTCTATGCTATCTCAAGTAGCAAGTCTTCTAATGTTATTGTTCTGTTGCTGGCACAGATTATGGTGAGTATTTTAATCCATTTGAGTAGCAACTTGTGCTCTCTCAGCTATGTCAGCAGCAGTAAAATTGTCTAATGTTTCTGTTATTTTCTCTGCAGGGAATGTATTTTGTATCTTCTGTGCTTCTGATTCGAATGAGTATGCCTCTAGAGTATCGCACTATCATTACTGAGGTTCTAGGAGAATTACAGTTTAACTTTTACCACCGATGGTTTGATGTTATATTCCTTGTCAGTGCTCTCTCCAGCATCCTGTTTCTCTATCTGGCACATAAGCAGGCTCCTGAGAAACATATGACACTCTGAATTTATTTTAATTCTACAGCCTGCAGTTATTCACAATTATGGATTTGGTATATCACCATTTTAAGATGGCTCTTCAATGATGGACACTCATCTCTTTGGTTCAAATCAGATGCTTCACTATAGGCAAGAAGTGACAAGCAGTCTTACAAGGACAGCCTCCAGCTCCATAAAAATGAGAAAAATAAAAGGGAATACTAGAGACCTCTCAAAAGGCTGGAAATGAAGAAGCCATTCTGCAGTTTTTATTCAATGGAGTTGGCAACATGTTTGCTTCATTGTCTTTACCTTGAAGATAATGATTCTAAAAGACTAAATAAAACAATATTTGTAATAATTCCCAATACTTTTCTTACGGTTTATAGATTTGTAAAGTTTCTTCTTTAAAGTGGAACAAAGTTTGATGAATTATTAATTTCTGACTGAAGTGGAAAAAAAACTCCTGGAATTCAAAAATACAGGCTTTGTCTAGTACTGCTAATCACTTTCCCCTTTCATCCCATTAAATCAGCATCACAACATGAGGTCCAAGCATTAAAAGTGGTTATCTCCAAAACTGTTAATGTGGCTTTCAGAATTCCTCCAAATGTTATTTCCCAGTTGTAACTCTTTTAATGTCATACAGTGGAAAACGTAACACCACGTTTGGATAGGCTCTTGGCATGCTACTTAGAAACCAAGAACTGTATGACCCAAGTAAATCTCAAGTAAGTTCAATACTGTTGACAGAACCTGTTCTTTTAAGTCAGTACTGTATTTTAAAGAAATCCACTTTATTTATGGATATCAGACAGGTGTTTACAGCAAGTGAGGAAGTAATTAGCAGTTGAAATTTCTTTTAATTTTTTTCAAGCAAAACCCTGTGCAAACATGAAAGTACAATATGTAAAATGAAGAATGCAGGGGAGTTAAATATCTTGATAATAATTTGATATATGGGGCACTGAAGAGAATCTATCAGTCTTACTTTATACTATCAGTACTATCTTTTGCTTGGTTGGTAAGGAAATATTGCCAGGACTTGGTACTGGCTTCAGTATCTAGATCAGTGTTTTTAAAATTGTGTTCCTAAGGATGCATGGTATCCTCCAGCTCCTCTCGGGTCCACAAAATCAAAATTATTTGCCAGTCTACGTTGAAAAATAATACAATATTAAAATTCCATCAAACAATAGTAGAAGCAGCAGTAGCAGCAAATTGTCAAAATTTTAATTTGGTAAATATTGACAGCCAGTTTTGTTGTAGTGCTTAAGGCACCAGGCCAGAAATTGGGAGATTATTGAGTTCTAGTCCTGCCTTAAGTATGAAAGCCAGTGAGGTGACCTTGGGCCAGTCATGCTGGCTCACCTTAGAAAGCAAGCAGTGGCAAACTACTTCCAAAATCCCACCAAGTAAATTTAAGGGACTTGTCCTGGCAGTTGTTGGGAGTCAACTGACTGGAAGACCAATATACAATAATTTTTTTTTAAAAAAAATACACAAACGTGATTTTCGGGTCCCCCATAATTTTTTCAAAATGGGGAAGGGTTGTGAAGAAAAAATGTTTTAAGAAACACCTCTCTATGTTGTTGGCATTAGAAAGGTCAAGAAAGCTTTGGAATTGGGACCGCAGCAGCATTTTCTATCCTCTATGCAGATGAGCAAAAGGAATGGGGTGTGCTGAAAGAATGACACTGAAACATCAACCAAGACTGTACATATTTGGGTTATCTTAACCATTGGAAAAATCTTGATTTTTTTAAAAAAATAATTACTACTAAAGAACCTCTTGTCTTCATTATTCTTTCACAAAAAAGGCAACTCTGAATGTTACACTCAAGCATTTGCTTGCAAATTCACAACAAAAACCTATACAGCTTTGGTTGGTTCTTGGCTTCTTTTATAGGACTGTTCAGAACTGCTGTGGTTTGATCAATTGAATTGGCATTGGGCAATATTGAAAGGGTTGGCTGCAACAATTTAACTTCTCAGCTTTTAAAAAAAAACTACAGCAGGAAATGCGTAATAGGGCAACATCACTGGAAGGAAAGAATTTCTAATTCTAATTTTTATCTTGAATTTGAGGTGGAAGGAGCTGGGGATGAGAAGGGAAATTGTGCTGCTGAAGTTTGGTCATTTGCTACTAAAATTCAGTGCCCCAGTCTTGTGATACTGGGGAGCAAGATTGGCACTTGCATTAAATAAGTTGGAGCAGTCTGCTCGTGGGTGGAACAAGTGAGTGAAATTGGAATAATGTGCTCTGACGTGTTAGCTGGTAAACCAGAAGCTATATGTGGAATCCAAACTGACTGTTGAGTTATTTATTTACCATCTTTATTATTTGTATAACTCGAAGAAGAGAACATACCTAATACTCCTTTTTCTTCCTATTGTCACTCACAACAACATTTTAAACATAGAGGCGATAAAATGAAACTACGGTATTTTTAAACTCAGCATCTATCAGAACTAGGAATCCTAATGAGTAGCTAGTTTTTAGTTTCTTTGCAGAACCTAATGCTCGGCTACAAGATTAATTAAAATTAGATGCAGTTGACAAAAATATCGCAATAAATGCAATATATTTTAGTTTTAATTGTTACAGTATTCAATTCATACAATTGAATTCTCATTGTGATTTCACTTCGCATGACTAATTTCTGAAAAAACCCTCCGGTTGCAGAGATTTTACTCATGTTCAAATTAACATGGAAAAAAAAACTTGGTTCAGACCATCTATTTTTATATCCAAATCGCATCTCTGCCCCCATTTTAAACACCCGCACACTGAGGAATGAAGGACAAGAACTCGGTATCATGTACTGACTTAGTACTGTTCTCTAAAACTGTCTTTGGCTGAAATTAATCCCGAGACTTTTTGCCTCCAGTGTGGTATGGTAGACTATGTACTCTTGAGAACAGCTTAGCTATATTATTTTCAGTACATTCATTTGGAAGTAATTCTCAGTGTGACTTGGTTTCAAGTAAGTATTATAGGATTACTGTCAAGGGTTTTTTTGAGAAATAATAACAGTATTGGCATATTTGCTTCAGAATAGTAGCCCCTTTCAGGTACAATATGGAAAAAGATGGACTCTGCTATCATTACAGTTCAGTATCTTCAGAGGAGGAGGATGAGCTGGCCTAGGGAAAGAAAGCAATAACTGTGTTAAAAGATGGAAAATACATTTATAGCACCATTAAGGGGGACCAGTTACAATATATCATAAACTATAGATTTATAGATTGAGCTGTGAGATGAATTGTCAGAAGTCTGAACTGATGGTCTAATTATGAATGCTCAAAATTTTACAATAAAAATCTTTTAAAAACCAAATCATCTAATTGGTTAATTACAAATGTTTAGTCCTGTGATTTAAGCATGGCTTGAGCGAAGGCTCAGTCTAGCTCTCTAAGCTAATTCTTTAGCTTAGATCAATGATGGCAAACCTTTTAGAGACCGAGTGCCCAAACTGCAACCCAAACCCCACTTATTTATTGTTGGGTGCTGGATGGGTATGGCCCACTCGGTGGGTATGGCCTATACTGGGTGGGCGTGGCCAGCTCAACATCACGTCAGGCACTTGTGCAAGCCTGGGCAGGACTGGGGCAGATCTGAGGGTCTCCGGCAGAGGGAGGGTGGAACCGGGGCGAGCGCTGGGGCATGGTCCACTGGAGGAGCCTCACTGAGCCTCAGGCTACGCAGCGGACCACTGGATGGTAGCACAGACTGCCCGGAGCCCTGCCTAGCCTAGCTGCACTTCCCGAGGGGGTGCTCAGCTGTGTTTACCTCCTCAAGGCTACTGCTTCTGTGCTCACTCTCCTTGGCCAAGTTGCTCATGGTGGGTGCAGGAGGGCAAAGTGCGTGGGTCAGAGGGAGGCCAAAGCATTCTCAGCAATAAGATGGGAGACCACCAGGGGATGGCGAAAGGGCAACAGGGCTGCTGGTGGCCAAGTGCTAAGGCAGGACTTCCCTCAGACCCTCCTTTTCCTTCCTTCCTTCCTTCCTTCCTTCCTTCCTTCCTTCCTTCCTTCCTTCCTTCCTTCCTTCCTTCCTTCCTTCCCTCCCTCCCTCCCTCCCTCCCTCCCATTCCAATTTTACCTTCCTTCCTTCCTTCCTTTCTTTTTTCCCTCCCCTCCTTCCTTCCCCCTCTCCCTCTGTGCCCAGGAAGGGACGAGGGGAGGGGGAGAGGTTGGCAGCACTTCTCTCAAAGAGTAAGAGAGTTGGAAGAGAACTTTGAGGTCTTTAGTCCAAGCCTCTGCTCAAGCAGGGGCCCTATATCATTCCAGACAATGGAATATCCAATCTCTACTCAAAAACCTCCAGTGATGGAGAGCCACAACTTTTCATGGTTTTCATAAGTCCTTAGTTCTAGGCTGGTTTTCTTCTATTCTGGTTTCCATCTATTATTGCCTTCTGATGCTTTGGAAAATAGGTTGACCCCTTCTCTTGGCAGCCATCAAATATTAGAACATTGCTGTCATGTCACCACCCCTAGTCCTTTTCACTAAGCTAGACACACCCAATTCCCACATTTGTCATATGTTTTAGCCTCCAGCCCCCAATCATCTATGTTTACCATCCATTTAGACCAGATGGTCCCCCAGGTTTGGTTTATAGAACAGTGGCCATGAGCAGAGCCTTCTCAGAGACAGCGCCCCAATTATAGAACTTTCTTCTAAGGAAAATATGAACAGTGCATCCCTCATCCATTTAGAGGCAACTCGAAACTCTGTTCAGCCAGGCATATGTAGAGCAGCACCACATTTTATGGTCAAACAGCACTAAATAAATTACTACTAATATTTTTCTTTCTTAAAATACACACTTTTAATATTGTTTTAAGCAGTGCTGGTAATACTTTACAATAGCTGTCTTTGAGAGTTTTTTGTAAAGCACCCTGGATTTCTCAGAAACATTTAATTTCAAATTAGATGTTGATTTAATAAATTAGGCAGAAGAAACAAATGTTTAAATACATCTAAATCCTACAGACCTACTGCCTCCTAGGTGCATACTGCAGAGAAAATAAGACATTGCATTTCTAGCCAGCATAGCCACAGCATTATGGGAACTGTAGTCCATGACACCCAAAAGACATTAGTTTGGGTAAGACTGGATTAAATTATAAAAGAGCAGATGAGAGGAAGTAGAAGCAAGAAACACTTTCCACGTCACCGACAAAATAATTGGGGGAGGGAGTTGACTCAGCCTTTTAATTTCAACTCACGCCAATTCCTCTTAATTTCCCATTCAATCCGAAGAGTTCTATGATTTTAGGGAGGGGAGATGGCAAGAATAGACCACAAAGCCAACCTGCGAGTTTTCTATCTTGCCTGCCTGCACACCACCTCCCCGATGCAGCATGTGTGTGTGTGTGTGTGTGTGTGTGTGTGTGTGTGTGCTTGTGTGTGTGAGACAGAGTGGGAGGAGGTTAAAAAAGGGGGGGGAGGAAAGGGGGAAGCTGCCCTTTTTTGTAACACCTCAGCTGCCTCCTCCTCTTCTCTCTCTCTCTCTCTCTCTCTCTCTCTCTCTCTCTCTCTCACACACACACACACACACACACACACACACACACAGATAAACCCTTCCTGCTTCTCCTTCTCACTCTTTCTCTCCAGCCACCACACATTGCTGGCCTCCAGCAGTTCCAGGCTGTGGCCCTGTATGACTGCTGCATTCCCATCTCTGGCCCTACAACGTGGCGGAGAGGGCGGATGGGAGCCGGCCAATGCTTGGCTTGTGCCACTGAACACTCCCATCTCTGCACCTTTCATCCCACAGGCCAGGCATGCCCTGGGGTGCTAGGCTTACAGAACGCCAAGACCCAAGCAAGGAAAGGCATGGTGCAGCAAAGCAGAGCCAGACGAGGAGAGGCCCGCAAAGCAGGGAATGGCCGGGTGTGACGGGTGAGGCTGAAAGGAGTGGGGCGGGATGGGATGAAGCAAATGAGCTGCAGCTACTGCTGCAAACCACCAGCTCCTGAACACTCGCCGTTTCCTGTGTGTGTGTGCCAGGCAGGCACCCAGCTGGGTTGGGGTGGGCTAGGGCTGGGGCAGTGGCGGCCGGTCCCTTGCCATTTCTGGGACAGCCCCAAGGGGCCAAATTTGGGCCCTCCCTGGCCGAGCCCCAGCCTGCAGGCTTTGTGTTTTACATGTCTGAGCTACAGCTTTGGTGGCTCTGTAGGTTCTGTAGGCACCTGCTGCTTTTGTGGCTCTGTAGGCAGAGCTGCGAAGTTCTCTTCTTACTTCGCAGCTCTGCCTACAGAGCCACCAAAGCATCAGGTGGAGCACCAGAGGGTCGAGGAGGGAGGGTGCTGAACTGGGCGGTCGGGCCATTGGCAAGAGCTACGCGTCTGACTGGAAAGCGGCCACGGAACAAGTGGGGCAGGTAAGGAAAGAAATCCTCGCTCCCCCCAGAAACTGCCTTTCTTTCCTTACCTGACTCCCAGCCCCCTGCTGCTTCTCCTTTGTGATCTGCCCCTGCCATGTGCAAGGAAACAAAGGAAGTTTTTTTGGAGAAAAAAAGGTCAATCAATTCCAATTTCATGATCTGTCTGGCAGGGGGAGGAAGCAACTGGTCTACCACGGTGCTAGCGCCGCTGCATTGCTTCTCCCCATACACAGGCCCCACCCCTCGCACGGAGTGCCTCCCCATGCACAGGCCCTGCTCCAATCCACATGTGGCACCTTCTTTCCAACTCCGATGAGTCACTTCCTCCACCACTCTGTGGGACTAAAAATAAAGTTCAATCAACCAATTCCAACTTTGTGAGATCTTTTTTTTTCCCTTGAGAAGTGGAGGCCTAAAGCGAAAAGGTTTTATAAAACCCAGTTTGCCTGGGGAGATTTTGATGCAGGTTGCTCATGGATGGGATTGAAGGCCTAGGACTGGGGCGATGGCATACATGACCACAGAGAGGGTTCTGTGTGCCACCTGTGGCATGCATGCTATAGGTTTGCCACCACAGGCTTAGATCATTCAACTATTTGCAATGTATCATACTGGTTTGATAATCAGATGCCACAGATTCTTGTGAGATTTTTCTCAAGTTAATGCGAGGAAACTCACCCTTTCTCGTGGTCCTGGCAGCGCATTTTCTGGCTCTGTTGCTTGTATCTCTGCATAGGCAGGAGGCTCATCATGGCTGTCACTTAATGGGTCAGCCATGGAGGCTGTAACAGCCTTCTTTTGGGAGCAGAAGTGCTGATAAGCCTTTTTGTCACACACCAATAGTGTCAGACTGTTACCGCTCTCTTGGATTCTTGCTACCACGTTTTCATACTCTTCATTCTCTACATTGGTACCATTCACTTCTATCACGATGTCATCATCTTGCAGCCCTGCTATATCGGCAGGCCCATCCTTTTTTACCTGCAATTAGATCATCTGAAATGACTATACTAGTAACTGCTGTTCTGCTTGATTGAGAGCAGCAGGCAGTCCATGGTAGATGGTGTACATACAAATGCATATTTACTTTTTTTTATTCAAGGGTGTGAGTGCCAGTTGCAGTCAGATGCTGCTCTTTTGGATAAAGGCATGACTATTTGGGGAGGGGGATGTATATGGAGAGTGTGCCCATAAGATGATAGATGTGGTGTTACAATTAGAGCCCATTTGTTTTGTGCAAAAGGGGTATGTTGTCAATTGCAATGCCTTGACTTCTGTTTGATAGATTTTGAGTCACTGGGCATTCTGGGCTGTAGACTACATTTCTGCTGCCATAAGAGAGATGACAATCCTAGTTGAGGGCGAAACTCAGAAGCGGCTGTATTCTTGATCCAGCCACAGTTTCTGGATTTATCACCTCTGACTGGGCAGGACTATTATCTTAATTAAGGCCTCATACAAGGTGTGTTGCTATGTTTGGGCCAAGTGGGATGGTCATCTGAGAAGAGGGACAGAAGAACTCAAACATTATTGGCTCCTTTGGGGGTGAGTGCTACAAGTTAGCACTTAACTCTCACATTTGAATTAAGATCTCAAATGGCTGCAAACACTTAAGATAACTATTTTGTCCAAAAATGTCCTTTCCCCATGAAAAAAGCACCATTATGGAGAGGGAGTTGTAATTTCTAAAAAAAATGAACTATACACAAACTTTATTGTTTGCTCCAGGTAAATAGGGCTTATCCATTACCTGACTCTGCAACTACATATTTTATATTTTCTGCTCTTTAGTGAAATAGTAAAGACAAGATACGTTTCCCCAAAGATGCTTTTTCAAAAGGCAACTGGACTTCCTTGTTTTTCTTTGAAGATTTTCACTTCTTGAATGAGGAAGGAAGTCCAGTTGCCTCATGAAAAAGCATCTTTGGAACCACTATGACCTGGATGACTGAGAATCTCCATAGACATAAGATAAGTTTGTTATCATTATATGTACATACAAATCAACATTTTTTTTAAATGACTGCTTTTAAAGTAGCAAAGTGTCCCCAAAACAAAACTCCAGTTTCCATGAACAGGCAAACATTCATAGTCTTAGTTTGTAAGTAATGGCTGTATATTATTTTCCCCATCATTCACCATAATATATGCCAAGAGATTATGAAGACAATTTACTTGGGTGAAAATTGAAAACACAAAGTTACCTCTTAAACTACACTGAACATAAGCATATCAATTCCTGCTACTGTTTCTTTTCCCGCAAACAATTGAGACAGTGAATTTTCTACACTGACTATGTCTATTTGTACACTCCTATCAATGTGGGAAATAACATAAGTGGAAAATTTTATTACTTGGACTTTAGAAGAAAAACTGCAAATATATTCACCATTTACTGTAGACTAACACTTTTTAAAACAAATTCTTAGTCTGATTCTATATTTACAAGTTGATAATTTCTTTAAAGGGTATAAAAGTGCTGATTCAGTCAACATTGATTAAATCACATTTTAAGATTGCTTTTGCCAAAAAAATTTAGCAGAGAAGTAATGAAAAACACTTAGATGGAATTAAAATATGAGAATAGAGGTGTATTATGTTGCTCTAATATTAAATCCTAAAAGTATGCTTCCAGAATGAGCATCAATAAATTAGTTTGGTTCTGGAAGATACTTTACTCTTCCCGTTTCAAATTTCTTTTATTCAGTAACTATTGTATCTTGGTAAGACACAGAACAAAGATACACTTCTATATATATTCTGCTGAGTACATTCACACTACAGGATAGAAGGCTGTACTTTTTTTGCTTGATCAATGGAGACTTGTTTTGTTTGCCAATGAAAAGATTCTAGAGTAATACCTCTTTGATGAACACTCCAGGTATATTGTTAATGGCATTCAATCGAAAGCCGAATCCAGTGAGACCTTTTATGAGTTTACAGAGCCTGGGCTTGTGATTTTCTTCCTCAGCATGCATGGGTACCTTTGCAATGCTCAGATGTGGCTCCAGTATTGTATGGCAGTAGAGACAAGGAGATATTTTAGCCTTAACCAACAAAAAAAACAACAAAAAAACAAAAATCATGAAATGAAACATAATGAATACAAGCTGGAGCTTGATGTTACACAATTCTTCACGTTGTGGAACAGGATGCCATGGTTGTCTCCTCTCCCCAGCTCTTTACCATATAGTTTTTCACAATCCAGAAGGAAGGAAGTTTAAATTGCTGGAGGCAGCTAAGTTGTAAGAAAGAATGGTTTGGGAGTTGAGCAATGACTCCATTGTGACTCCTGCTGGCAATTTTTTTGACAATCAGCTGAGGGAGTTTGTGTGGGTCGGAGACAAGTTGAAGCACTTCCCCGTTGTTGGAGAGAAGCTAAACAGGAAAGAGAATTGCACATGGCCAAATGTTTTATGGGGTATATTTCAAAAGAAAACATTTTTTAAACTTTAAATTATAAAGCTTAAAAATAAATTATCTGTCTTGTCCACTTCTGGCCTCAAAATTACTCATTGCTTATTTTGCCCCATTTTACTACCACTGTGTAACCTCTGACCCCTTTCCTGGAGGAAATGCAGTTTGGAAGGTAATGTGCTAAGAAAAGAGGTTCAAGATTGTAATGAGGCAGCCGCTCACACTATTCAAGCTTCACAAGGGTTGTTGTGAAAAATAAATGGAGTACTATGTATGCTGCCATTAACTCCTAAAAGGAAAGGTGGAATATACATCTAAAAAGGAATTAAATTAAAATCTGAATAGGACTAAAAGAAATTCAGAGGTCAGGAAAGAGATGCTGGAAACTTGAGGAATAGCCTTAGACTTTCGCAGGTCAGATCTGATAGCCTAATTATAAGCAGAGACAATTTCTCCTGCCTATCAGTAGATCACACCTTCAGTTACTCTTTTGCTTCTACATACTGTCAAGATAGCAAAAATTAGAGAAAATAAAGCAAAAATAGTTCTGAAACTCTTGATTGATATGATAGTTTTGTCACTTTAAGACCCTATTATTGCTTAGGTCAGGCCTGTCAAACTTGTGACATCATGTGACGTCACACGATGTATCACGACTTTTTCCTCAGTGCCGGCAATGGGGTGGGCGTGGTTTTGTCATGATGCATCTGGCCCGTGGGCTGGCAGTTTGACATGCCTGGCTTAGGTACTTATATTCCATCTTGAATATAGGGATCTTTACTTAGAACAGCTTACACCCTGTGACGATACCTTTAACACCATCAAACAATAATATCTGCCTACTCCAGGTCCTTTGGAAGGACTCAGTAGGTAGACAAAAATGCTAAATTCAGCCTAAATATCTGGCTGACTATCCAACCAACCAACAGTTGACTTACAACTATTCATTGACAGTTCAAAGTTACAATGGCACTGAAAAAAGTGACTTATGACCATTTTTCACACGTGACCTTTGTAGCATCCCCATGCTCATGTGATCAAAATTCAGATGTTTGGCAACTGGTTCATACTTATGACTGTTGCTGTATCCTAAGGTCATGTGATCACCTTTTGCAATCTTTTGACAAGCAAAGTCAATGGGAAAGGCAGAGTCACTTAACAACTGTGTTACTAACATAACAACTGCAGTAATTCACTTAAAGACTGTGGCAAGAAATGTTGTAAAATGGGGCAAAATTCACTTAACAAATGTCTCACTTAACAACAAAAATGCTAGGCTCAATTGTGGTTCATAAGTCGAGGTCTACCTGTAATATAAAAAATTAAGGCAATTGTCTTGAAAGGGATCAATAGTTTCAGAGGAGCAGAGTACCATAAATAAACTCTATCAGCTGTCATTTGTTTCAATAGCAAATTGAAAGATGACCTTATGGCCGAAGTAGAGTTACACAATTGAGGGTAGTTTATGCAATTCCTTTTATTGCTAGCTTATCTGATTTTTCTGTTTTACATCAAATCCTTTATTAAATATAGGCTTCTATATTGTATTAAAGCTGTACATGTTGCATGGTTCTAACATAACATGATTTGTTTAGAAGAAGTCCTCATAAAGGTAATTATAACATTCAGGGTCGAAATAAGGTTTAAAAGCAGAATTATATTTTAAATATGAATTGTATAGAAAAGTTTAAAAGTTTTAAATCAAAATAACAATATAATCTCACACAGCAAAGTGGCATTTATGCTAAACTCTTTCTCTTCAAACTCATGGAGACTGGAAATCAATTTAACTAGGAAAAAGATCTGGTAGATAGCGATTTAATAGTATAATCCTTATAAATGTCATATCCTGTATATCTTCAGCTCTTTCAGTTCTTTTTTTTTTTTTTTTTGAATTCCCTCCATTATAGCAAGAAATAATGCCTAATTAGCCAGGGCTGAGTAGTTAAGCATGGTGAGACCCGATTATTACTTGGATGAAAGATCACCTGGAAATCAATGGAAAGTTAAAAGAACATATCTGAAAGAAAGCAATAGCAAATTACATCCATATTGTTTCCAAGAAAATTAAATAGAGGAAGAATCAAGGTCACTTCAAAATGACTTCTCTTAGTAGCCAAATAATATAAAAGAACCGATTTGTTCAGTTGCCATTAATTTTAGAATCCAAAGAATAATGCGCATGTCATGGTTCCAAAGGAAGAAACTCTTCAAAGAACTTTGAGGCATTGTTTACCTTAAAGAATCTTTAATGAGAAAGATACAGCTTCGGCACATACGTAGGCAAAGCCAAAATCTGAATTCTCCTCCCCTAACACATAGTATCTAAGCATAATTCACTCCTTCATTTAACAGTCATTAATCACATTCTTCATTATTAGTTTGAAGTGCAAACTTTCCCTCCAGTTGCATAACCTGCCATTTCTTATCTCCTCTTATTACATACAACCTGGAAGAATACTCTATTGAGATATTGTTATGGCTAACTAATCCCCTGCACATTCTTTCCCCTCTCCTCCAGCACCATCTAATTCTAACTCTAAAAGTAATACACAGGTTAAACAGAAAATGTCTGCATCTTCGTATATTGTCACAGCAAGAACATCCGATGTTAGCAGCATTGATATCGTAAACGTTGCTATCAGTATCCAGATAACAATAGCATCCAGATAGCTACCATGCCATTTTAAATATTGAAATTGTTTCCTTAACAACACTATTACTGTGATGCTTGCAAGAACTTGAAATTTGCTACATATGCAATAGTTCTAATACATGTTCTTCTAGATTTTTGGGTTTTTTAAATAAAAAGAGTCAAACATAATGCTTGATTTCCCATAGAGGTTACTTAGCCTATAATCTTGCCATGACAACATAATGGGCAGCCCAGGAAAGCAAATGTTATTTTAACAACTGGACAGCCTGAAGGCTGCTGTGCTGTCCTTTCCTCATCCTTAAAAAAGCAGGGTTACAATGTCAAAAATTGCTGCAGTGAAATTTCAATTTTTTGAAGTTATCTAGCTGCATTGTGCATCTTTTTATTAATAACCATATTTCAGAATCTTGGCTTATGACTTTGCAGAAGTAGTCTGGTAGCTATGACTGCTGTTGTAAAAAATCCTGGAAATTGAGCTGGAAATATTCCAGGGTGGGAATATTTTTATTAAGAGAAGCAGAATTCAACTTCTGGAAAAATATGACTGAGTAGTACACTCCTTTGTCATGGCAGGAGAAAGCAATGCAGATAAACCCAGTCCTGTCAAGCTACTAGAACTATCTTTTGGTTTCTAATGCTCAGGTGCTGCAAACACAAAGTTCTCTTGTAACCAGGAAGGCTAGAAGAGCATATAATGATTTAAAGCTGATATTCTCAGAATGTTAGGTATGCACAAACCTTTGCATCAGGACACCTTTGCAACAGCTACAGCTCTTTACCCCTCCCCTCCATTTCACAGCTCATTACATAATTTCGAAATTAACTCATTCTTGCAGTCAAGCTGTGAACATTACCATTTTATACATGGTATCAGTCTCTTCATCCACCACTAGTAGTGTTGTGTTTTCACCAGATTGTCTGATTTTCTCTACCACAGCTTCATGGTCCAGTGCTTCAACTGGCTCTCCATTTACAGCAACCAAGATATCATTGTCCCTGAGACCTGCTTTAGCTGCAGGGCTGTTTGAATCAATATCCTTAATCAAGTGGCCTGCCCAAAAAAAGAAAAATAAAATAAAATCAGAAAAGCCTAATATCCTAGCAAAGCACAGTCCCATAGCCAATGTTTAATTTGTACTTTAGTTTTCAAACTCTAGTATTAAGGCAGATAATAAGCTTGACCCTAACCCTTTCATCTTGGTATATGTCCTCTGTTGTGGACATTCTAATTAGAACAATATACAGCACAAAGCAGAAGCCAGACCAGGTCTATAAAACTGGAATTGAGATATTTTCCCTTTAACAACCATTATGCAAGACTACAAAGGAGATGAGTAACTAAACTTGGAAGGAAATTATGGAGTTCCTTAAATGCTATTTCTCCTATTAATTGGAACACAGTTCTTGGGTGTGGGAATATACTATACATATTTTAAAGAAGTAAAGTCCATATTGCATACTACCCTGTGGGCTAATTCTTACCTTTGCCATTTTGCTCCATTCTCAGGTAAAATCCATAACCAGTATTCCCCTTTTTGAGCTCAATATTTCGGGGTTTGTGAGGTAATAATTTCAGACTGGCCTTTCCCCTTGTCAATTCCATATTCCGCCTGTAGTAATACTGGTCAGTTTCTTTATCTAACAGTAGAAACACAACCTGATTCCCAGACTTTTTCACCTGAGGACGTAGACATAGAGACGATATTTTTGGTCTGATGTGCAACCTGAAACAGTGTCATCTACATACAACCAGTACATAACAGTTATCCTTTTTTTAATGATGTTTTCATTGGTGAAGCTAGAATTGTTCTATGTTATCATTATAAAACCTGCATTTTTGAAATTGAAGTTTACAGTATTTGCTTATTCTCATATTTACGTATTTCGGGTGTGCACAGCTTTTTAACTATTTTGGATAGTTACTTAATAATATTAAATAATACTATTAGTACTCAGACTTCTTATTCAATTTGGAAATAAATTTGTATAATATAAAATAGAAAGCAAATGGATGGATATGACTTGATTCAATTGGAAGGATGGGACACTATTAGGAGGTGGTTGTACTTAATTTTAGGGACTGTGTAATTCACCTTGCGTAATATGAAAGAGTTAATTCAAACACATTTTTTTCCATGTATTGTGTGCAACTTTATTTTCCATCTGTGCATGCCAGTCTTTGTCTAAGGCGATCTACTTGCGCATGCTGTGGCAAGATGCAACTGGGGTAATAATTACCTATATTCTATCAAATTAGCATTATAACTTGATCTGAATAATCTACAAGAATTGGGTGACAAATGAGGTTAAGGCTTAAAGTACCTTCTCAACTACTTCTTCGTGTGTACTGTTCTCCACATTCTCTCCGTTGATTTCTATAAGGCGATCATTTGGCTGCACTCCAGCTTTCATAGCTGGACCCTGTGGGGTCAAATCTACAATGAACAGACCTTTCTGTCCTGGAAATGAGAAGCAAATGGAGAAACAGAAATAATTCTTTACTTGTTAATATGTTCATTTTGCTCACAGTGAACACAGCATGGGTAGCAGTATATCCAGTCTAGTTCAAACAACACTGATGTGACACCAGAAATGTGACAATAACATTTATGCCCTTTCAATGCCTCCAAAATTGAAAAGCATTTATTATGCTGTAACCCAGTATTAGTTTACACTTTGTCAGATGCTTCGGGGGTGGGTGGGGCTGCAATTATAGCCGTGTAAGTGACTGATTAGGAGTAATAAATTACTTATTAACTACTACTGCTTTTTCCAGTGTTCATTAAAACTTGATTTATTATTTTTCACCTACTTTTAAGTACCAAATCTCTCTCTCTCTCTTTTTCAAAATACACTAGCTATTTCTGGCACACACAACATTATAAAACTACCTGAAGAGATATCTTATTTATATTCTCAACTGTAGATGTAAAGAATCAGGTAATAATGCAGCATTCTGTTCACTTCTTTTGTCCACATTGTCATAATATGACTTCCTTAAAGAGGTCTAACAATATAGTCTGGGTTCCTATATCAGAAGACCATGGCAACATAGGCTGTGGATGGTCTAAAGCAGCCTATTTATATAGATGACAAAACCCAATCAAAATTTTTAGAGTTTTCATTGCTTTTGTGATGACTGACTCCCAACTGTCTTGAAGAAAAGATCATTTTCCTGTTCCTTATTATTTGAACGTTGATGGCATAGCAACAAAATAATCACTAATGTGAGGAATTCTAAACTTATAATGGTTGCAATTAGTATCTAAAAACTACTAATTTTTTTTGTCATGATCTTTAATTGGTTGGAATGATGCACCATAGGGCAACAATGTTTGAACCAAGTTACCCCAAATGGACTAATTCACAGGATGTGTCCAAAATCTGGAACTCATTCTCCTGAGGTAATGAAATTTGGGTAAATTGTGATTGCTAGCTGCTACTACAAGTCACCTGATCTTCATTTTCAACATTCTGTGACAGTTTCTTAGTCTTGCAATCCCTTGTTCCTTCCCCACCTAGCAGTTTTCACTTACCTGCCTGGTAGAAAGGCAAGGGAAGGGAGGAAAGAAGAAAGGAAAGAATGGGAAGGGAAGAACGGAGGAGTGAATGAGAAAGGGAAGGAAGTAAGTAAGTTGAAAGTTGCTCCCATTCCTGCTGCTTTTTTGGCCACCTATGGTAATTCTGTTTCTTTGTTTAAGTAAGGAAGTATCTCTGAAAAAAATGACTCAATAGGGCATGGGTTGCCAACAGAATTCTGCAACCTGTCACTTCCACATGATTGTGACTGCAGTTCCCAGAATTAATAGCCAGAATGACTGAGATGGCCATACCAGACTTCATCTGCCTTGTATCTCTAAAAACCACAATTCTTTTCAGTGGAAGAACACCCGGAGATTGAATAAAAAAGCATTCAAATATTTTACATGTATATGTGAGTAATACATACAAATATGGTCTAATATGTCCATAAACCTGGCAATTATAGATGCTTTGGCTTGTAATTTCTTTTTAGGAGAACTTCAGATTCGTTCAAGGACTTACTTTAATTAGCATAACAATTGATCATCCTAATAATGTCCTTTAATAGATGGTTTAGGAATTTGGCTTTAAATATACACTCAAAATTATGTCACTGGTTATAGAATGTATCTAAAACGGTTTTTGCACAAGAGGTTTACATGTCAGTTTTATTTATTTATTGTCCTTACCTGTAGAAGACTTCAAAGAGAAACCATAGCTATTTTTTTCCTTAATTAGATAACAGAGATGGGGTTGTGGAGCTGTACCCGATTCTTCAGATTGCACAAGTTGGAGATCTTCTGTCTGTTCTTGGTTTGGTGACTTTTCAGCCAACTCTTCAAGACTGATTCCTTCTTTTAATGCACTTTCATAAGAATGATCATCCAAAACAAGGAATAATACAGGAGTGACACTTTTTCTAATTAAATCAGCCACCTATAATTGATGCAATGAGAGACTAAGAGGTAACTAAAAGAAATAACAAAATGGCACAGAACGTGAATTAAGAAAAACACATGAGGGAGGAGAGCTAGATCACAAAACTGTATCATTCAGCTGTTTTTTTTTTTTTACAGAGAGAATTAAAAAGTCAGAATAGCTGTTGTGACAATGCAATCAAAATCCCACCTCTTTTTAATGTGCATACATCTTGGGGTTATTTGCACACTTACCTTACCCTGAAGCCTATGGCAGATCGGAGAATAATTAAAAAGCAGAATTTTCATAAAATTGATTGCTAAAATGGAGAGAGAAAATTATGATCCTGAGAATTTGTTGAAAATAGCAGCCACTGTTTTATAATACCACCAGTATGATTTATTCTCTTGAAAATTACACTTATGTGACAGAAGCTTGAGTAGTGATTTCATACCTGAAGTTGTAGAAACTATAAAAGTTGAACTTAGCTGGGTTACCTAAGATCAACTATTACAGGACACTGTAAATGCTCTCAAGTGGTGGCTCTCGGGACTATCACCTTCTCATCTTTTCTATTGTGCAAGGATGAAAACTCCATGAAACTCCATTAAATCAGCCATAAGTCTCTTCAAAGTGCTTAGAAGTCGGTTGTCATTTAAGTTCCCCTATCATTACCGACTGGGTGGAAAGGTTAAAGGAAAGAGAAACTGAATTCTTTTGCTCATATGGAGAATGAAAACAAGTATCTGAAAGAAGGAAAGATTTTCTTTCTTTGCAGAGTTTTTTCTTCTTCTTTTGGCATTGCATGGTTTGGGTGCTGGCGGAAGATTTTGGAAGTATTCATCTTTGGAAGAAGAAGATATTTTGAATAAATGCATACAAGGATCAAATTGGCTGATGAGGTGTGTGAAAGAATGTGCTTTTCATTAGGGAAAAACAAACAAACTAAAATATCTCCTACCTCTCCATGATCTTCCTTATCTATAAACACTCCATTAATCTTCAGGATTCTGTCTCCATCTTTTAGTCCTGCCTTCTCAGCTGGACTATCCTTTTCTACATTTCGGATAAGATGCCCTGTTTTGAATCTCTCAATGCGTAGGCAGAATCCATAGTTTTCACCATCTTTTCTAGCCAGTGTGCATTCTCTGGGATGAAGTGACATCATTTCTGTCAAAAGAAGTAAAGAAATTTTTTTTTGCCAGAACATGCATGTGAAGAAAGAAAGACTTTATTGAAGGAAATTGCACAAATAAAATGAATCAAGTGAGCTACTCATAAAAGGGAATGAAAGGGGGAAAAGAAAGCATTTTGATATGGGAAAAATGTACTGAATACCGCTGATAGGGTCATCTCATATAATGAATTTATCATAACATATTACAGATATTTTCTTAGAAGAAAATTGAGCAATCTTGAATTTCTTTCTCATATCTTCATCTCTTTCTGGGCTAAGCTAACATTTTCATAATGGCTGGCACGTACCTTCTTCTAAATTATATCTGTACTGTATTGCACAATACTGTACAATATTGGCTGTTCTCATGAAGCTAAACTGGGTTGGACTTGATTAGTAGTTGAAAGAAAAACAAACTGGAAATGCCAGCACTATAAGCCAGACTGGGAGATGGAAAAGGAAACTGGAAAACAATCTGGGTCAGTCAACGGGAGCTTTCTGGCTCGTGCTGGAGCCCATCCTCAGAGAACTTCTCTCTAGCAGAGTGTGTGCTTTGGGCTATTCTGTGTTTGGTATTTATATGGTGCCGGTTGTGTGTGGCTTTTTAGTTGTTGATTGGGGTGTTGATGGAATCCCAATGGCCGACTATTAAGTCTTTAGCTGTTGTTTCATTGTGCTGCCAACAATCCAGAGCAGATGCAGTGGAAAATAATTGCTATATTGTTGCAGAGAAAGCTATGAAGTTTGCCCATGAAATTACTAAGAATCAAATTTGGCTCAAAGGAAACTTTGAAACAATGAAAATATAGATAACCAATTCAGTGCCTGTCTTAACTCTACACTTAGGTAAGGGGATGAAAAACTCAATCGGATGCTTAGTAAGATGAAGATAGCATTCTTAGCAAGATGAACTACATAGATAGTATTCAGTGAATTGAACTGAGAAATACTGGAGTAGAGTCTTTCCCAAGTAGGTTGAAATTATAATCCTTAGTTTCTAAGTCATCAATTTTCAGTGTAGAAAGCATGAAGGCATAATTTATTATACATCCCATTAGTTCTTTTATTGTTATTCATGACTTCTGGAGAGCAAAGCATCTGACTAACTTCATATCTCAGGATTTCTTCTAACTTCACCTAAGATAGCCGTGTGAATATCCAAAACCTGCAGAGAACTGAGTGGAACAGTGGTTTTTATTATTGTTATTATTTATCTGAGGTCAAGGCAAAACTAGAGTGATTCTCTTAAATCCTTTTTTGCTTATTTTTAAAGTACAGTGTGAAGTGAAAAATCAACTACAGCACCTTTCAAGGTCAATAGAAAGTTTAATGTGTTGCTGACAATATTTGTCTACACTGTTCTTGTCTAAAAAATCTATTTAGTAATCATATTGCTAATTTAGTGTTTTGCAATAATATGTACTTTGCTCACTCTTCCTTTGCTCAGGATGCAGGATAATCTTGTTGACTTAGTTAATATATCAAGAATTATGGTTAATAAGTGGAAGATTTTTCTTAGGTCAAGAGATAAGATTAACAAGAATCAGAATATCAGACTATTAAGAATTAGAATGCTTTGCTTGATGAGCTGTTTTATCTAATGATTTTGGCCACAAATAAATTGAACTGAATTGACTAGGTGGCATTCACTATTGTTCTTTCCATTTGAACAATGACTAACATAGCTGATGCTTTTGGTCCCTTTGAAAGATTGTTAAATAAAATAAATTGACTCCTTTATAAAGCCCTCTCCACTCATCCTAGCCTCCTAAAAGATCCCTAGATTCCTTGGGAGATTTTTCTATCAAACCCTGAATATATGCTGAATTATGCTGAATATATATGCAGGAAGGAGTAGAATTTCTTCTAAAGACCTACCCTCTAAATATATTCATTATTATCTCACTGGTGAATTTTGGACAATCATTATCAGTTTTTTTCTAGCTCTGTAACAAGTTTGCTGTTGTGATTATAAAATGAGGGGAGATTCATAATTATGCTTCCTTGGATTTATAAAGGCAAATAAAAAAGAATGAATATATGACACATGAAAGACCTCTGTACAGAGAGATATAATCCTATTCTGTACAAAGATATTCTCAATGGTCTTTCAGATATGAGTATTAGAACCAACAAGCATCACCCATCTTTCCAATATTCATACATTAAAAGCATATTTAGTAATTGCTGACAATAATTTAACTTTTTTCATGATTATATTTAATATTTTGAGGAAACAGAGTACTTCCCACTTCTTTTCTCTTCCTGTCCTTTCCCCCCAGATTTGGAAAAAAAAGGCAACAAGAGTCTTACCTGCACATATAGTGCACAGTCCTCAGAATGATCTCTGGTATGTCATGTTCTGAACTGCTAAAGGTAAGCACAGTTGCACTTTGAATGAACAAAGGTTGAATTAAAAGATGATTTATTTAACAGGGCTTCACTGCGCACATTCCTTGATAACCAGTTTTTCATTACTTTTACCTAAGCAATACTGAACTTTTCCTGGCAACTTGGATCCTTCCCTAATAGTTCAGAGATCATTACAGACATTTCCATTACTACATGGATTTCTGCTGAGAAATACCTGAACAACAGTCAGCCCTCTAGGATAGATGGATAGATAGATAGATAGATGCAGAACTTGCCTTACACCTGAGTAAAAAATAAAAAAGCATCTTAAAGAAATATAAAACTTTAACACCAACACAAAATACCCATAAAATCTGAGTCTTTGACCTGCTCATCAAATACCTTTCCCACATATTTATGATGATCCAAGCTACAATATGTCAAACTGTCATAGCTTGTGAGATTGAAATAGAGTATGTTCAAGTGACACCCTACAAAATTGAGATGAAAGGACAGATGGGAAAAATGGGAAGATAAATAGATATATCATTAACTTTGAATATCTAAATATTATGATTTGGCACACACACACACACACTAATGGTTTCATCACTGAATATTATATTTGGATTTTCAAAGTTTAGACTATATAAAATTAGAAAAGCAATTATTCTTTAATTAGCACTTTCAATAATATTTTAAAATACTCATTATAAAAAGAGCTTTTCTGTACCTTGCAAGTCCAAAGCACCCTGCAAATATCTCAGCTGGAAAACCCCCATTCAGCTTTGAGACCATATTGCTCCAGATAAATCTGCATCTACCCTGACCAGTGGTGAGATTCAAATATGTGAACAATCGGTTTTCTATGTGGATGCCGCCTCTGGAAGTCCATTCTGGGCTTGGGCAACAAAAAATTAGCTACTGGTTCTGCCGAAGTGGTGTGAACTGGCTGAATCCCACCACTGACCCTGACTCTCTTCACTTGCTTTCAACCAAAACCATTGACCTAATTCTCATGAGGTACCTATTAATATTTAAGGCTTATACAGTCCAGACTCAAACGGGATTAATAGGTTAATCTCTCTACAAAGAACTCTGGGAAATAGAGTCTTGGGATGAATTGCTAACCACATCATAGTTAGATTAACATACAGCATTCAACTTCCAGGTTAAATTAGGTCACCATTTTCCTGTCTTCCCCTATATCAGACATGTCAAACATGCAACGTCACATGAGGTCGCATGATGTATCGGGGCTTTTTCGCCGTTGCTGGCAATGGGGTGGGCGCGGCTCCGGTATGATGAAACCGGCCCACGGGCCGGCAGTTTGACACCCCTTTTGACACATATCCTTCTTTCCTTGAGTGTAAATGAAAACTGCAGGAGAGAATTCTGAGATACTACATTTTCTCAGGACTCCCTCTACAGTTTTTTTCAGATAATTGGCAGCTCTCCCTTCAAATACCTTGTTCTGTTGTTATTAACAGAGAGTTCTTAATTTCTTACCAGCTTAAATTGGTACAAACCAGTATAAATCTGCATTGCGACTTGATTCCATTTCACCTGGGCAGGAGCATTGATACCTAACTTCTTGAAATACCAATCAGATTTGCATTGTTGATACAGAATACCATCACCACCACTGCTACTAGGAATGTCTTTGCCATGAATTCTATTCATTTTTTTGATAGATCACAAACAGTTCCCTGAAAACACCATGCTGATTTCTTTAATTGCAGTCCTAATCTCAAAAAATGTTGGAAAATTCTTATTTTAGAGAATGAGCACAATCAGTCCTTCAGTTATGCCAGTGGTGGGATTCAGGCAGTTTGCATCAGTTTAGCAGAACCGGTAGCTAATTTTTTGTTGCGCAGGCCCAGAATGGACTTTTGGAAGCAGCATTCACACAGAGAACCGGTTGTTCACATATCTGAATCCCACCACTGAGTTATACCCTCATGATATTATTATTAAGATTAAATTTCACAGAATGCTTTGAGTAAAAAAGAGCTCAGTGACATGGACCACACTGAAACTTGCACTGGGCTGCCTTATGTGGCTAAGAATAAGTTTAAGCCATTTCTCTGTGTCTGTCTGTATCTGTACCTCTGTCTGGGTTTTGAATAGAAGATAAAAGCTAACCCGAATTAATATAAAGTAGAGAAAAAGGGACAAAGGAAGGCAAAAAGAAAAAGACAAAAATGCAGAAAAAAAGAAATTAAAAAAAATGAAAAGAAATAATTTCTGATTTTCTTTACAGCAAATATAAGTACTAAATTACCTTTTACTTCATGGTTACAAAAAGAAAAGTGACCTTTTTTTAAAATCATCAAAACCATAAATCATAGGATTATTTTTTTCTGTTTCATGCAAATTCCATAAGGGGCTTCCAGCCAGCAATAAACATAGATGTTGTCTTTTCTGTAATCAAGAAAGTCAGTTTGGCCATCTCTGCAAATTCCAGCATCTTTACCAACCATTCCTCTATTGTGCGTAATGCTGAGTCTTTCCATTTCTGAGCATACCAGTATAATAATCTCACTCCTGATATCCTAGTTCAGTGATGGCAAACCTTTTAGAGACCGAGTGCCCAAAAACAGCCCTGCCCGCTCCATCCCTGCCCCTGCCCCGTCCCCCCACACTGCCCCCCACACTGCCCCACTTGCAGGACCACCCACCACCTCCACAGTCTGCTGTAGCAGATTGCCCAGGCAGCCCAGCAGCCTCATGGCAGCCATCCCCTCCACCCATGCCCCGCAGCATCATCTACGCGTGGTGGGGCGTGAGGGTGGAGTCTTGTCCCTGCTGCCATGTGTTTGGCTGTGCTGCTCTGTGCAGGCCATGGCTGGGGGCGACTCTCCTCCAGGGGGGCTGCTGGTGAGGAGAGGGCCATGGGGGAGGCGGTACTGGGGCGATGGTGCGCGTGCCCACAGAGAGGGCTTCAAGTGCTGCCTCTGGCACGCGTGCCATAGGTTCGCCACCACTGTCCTAGTCTAAGCCTAAGTTTCTCACTGAACGAAGCAACAAGCCTTTAGTTTTTAGCAGAACTAATTAGGGAGCATAATAAAGAAAAAGCCAAGGATTTTAGTATTGAAGAAACACTATCTAGTTTCCAAGTATTTGTGTTTATTTTGAAAATAGAAAGGGGCATTTTTTGCTTTCCAATCAGCAGTAATCCTGTTCAAATGTATTGTACTTTCTTCTCTGAATACACTAATTTTGTCTGTTTACTAACATTTAAAAGAATTCAAGTAACTTTCTAGCTGTTCTAAAAGGGCCATTAGTATTGTAGTGGTATGGTTATTTGCACTACTAGATCAAAGTCTCATTGTATATATATTTCAAAAAAAGTTTTAAGAGGAATTTTTTTTAAGTCTGTAAGCTTGCCATTCATTCCATATTTCAAACAACTGATCTTTATTTAGATTCTAAATTTAATGGTTTTTTTTGTTAGTTAATAGAGAAACATAGTTTGGTTCCCTTTTTTGGCTTTAGAGGTTTGCACCAGAAGTGTAAAAAAAACCATGGCAACATACCATCTGTTTTCACACTATGAGTCAAAATTCTTATTTCTTCTTCTTATTAAATTATGATATAATTATGATGGGGTAGGATTAAATTTAAGCTTTTGATGAGGAACACTATTTAAATCAGTTGGTTATAATAACAACATTAATTCACATTAATTTTAAAATGACTTAGTTATGACTGGGATGTCTGAATGGAGTCCACTGAATAATTAGTTTCTATATAAAAACATAAAATAAATTTAATAAGTTAGATCATTCTTCTAAATTTACTGACATATGTAACATGTTATTTTATTAACTATTTAGAGTTCTTCAGTAAGACCCTACGCTGCTGTAGAAGAATCTTTCTTCTCCTTTATGTTTATATTATACAGCTAAAAAGAGGAAAAATCGACAGTGATGAAGATTGAATCTTGAAATTCAGACACAATAAGGCCATATATTATTAGCTGCTAGGTTCTAACAGTGAGAAATGGCTAGGGACTGTACATCTTGTTTGCAAGCCTAGAAGTATCTAGTTGGCCAATGTGGGAAAATGATGATGGATTGGACAAGACCTTAATGTGACTGGGGACCTTTTACATTCTTCTCTTTCCATTCTCTATAATACACAATGTGTTTCTGTTTTGTACAAATTAACTTACAAAATAAACAATACATTGATTGCTTATCACAGTGCCGATCTTATTATGTTCCATTTGTAACCTTTCCATGTTTGCCCATCTCTTTTTTTCATTTTACCACACTACTCAAGGTAGGAAAGAACAAAAGATGCTCAATGACTTATTATGTGGTTTTAAAATTGCTTCTATCTTACAAATTCTTTTTTCTCTCTGCTGAGGTCTCTCAATTACAACTGATTTTTATACAATTAAAAATAGAAGGTTATTGATTTACTGTTTCATTTCTAATACAAATATTACAGTTCTGCTACCAGCAAAACATATTCAGGCTGAATATGTGAAACTATACCTAACAGTGAGACTAGAAATGAGCATTCTTTGTTCTTGAAAAAGGAAGTTAATCCTTAAAGTTTATAAACTGAAACTATGTGCTAGAGATTTATCTGCTCAATCTCAATCAGTTTTCCAAATAACCATTAAGAAATTATTTGTAATTTATTTATTGTTTTTTGTTAGATATGCAAACCCATATTAGATATATTAGCTTCACTTACTGGAAAAGGATAGCTTCCCTTGCTGATAAAGGATAGCCTGGTATTGCTTAGTGAAAAGACAAGAATTTTCTTATCTTAAAGCAAAAAGCCCATCCCAGGTTGTTTCAAATTTTTGGCTAAGTGAAGTTTTCATATTGCTCATATTTATAATTTAGGGTTGCTTATGATATTTGAGTTAATTGTACCACATCAATGATTTAATGCTTTAACTTTTGTTAGGTAGTATTTATAAGTGAAACCCAAACATTAAAAATTTATTTATTTAATTTTAATATGAACCATTCTTCTTAAAAGTTTAGACAATAATGATGCTACAACTCATTTAAAATCATTTTGACTTATACAAATTTAAGAAGTACACAAGCATTGTTAGTGTCCTGATAGCACATGTTCTAGCTC